CTGACGTGCTACTTCTTCGCTTTCCTCTCCTCTACGTGCAGGTGGTTTCCGTCTCGTTCTCCTCTTTGCTTCCTCTTTTTCCTCTACTCCTGTATGAGACATTAAGAAAGTCCCTGCTGAGCTTGAAGCTGCTTCGTTTGGAGTAGCACTCTCGTTTTCTGACCGAACAGGTGCGAGGATTTGTTTGGGTGGAATCTTCTGGCCACGAACAACGATATTCTTGGGCGGTTTAATGGATCGTACGATGCCTTCATCGAGGTCGACGTCACCCGTTACGCTGCTCTGCGTAGGAAGCTCCATTTTTGAACTGCTCGATGCTTTCGTTGTGCTAAACTGTCCGGACTGCGCTGTAGATGGCTCAGTCGCTTTTTGAGTGACCTGAAAAAGCGAAATGAATTGAGCTAAACTGAATTATCAGTCCGGTGAAAATTCAATTCGGATCAGTTTTTTGAAATGTTTTACATCGATTTTGGTTATTTCATACGGTCCAGCTTAAGTTTATTTGCTAAAAAATGTCATCAGACTGGTGATTTGTTTGAAAAATATTAAACTTTTATATGTTAAGACTTTGCCAAGAAAACTGATTCAAATGTTGACGAGAAAGACAGAATATTGCAGTAATTTTGTGCCTCATCACTACCGAAATGTCCAGCTGCATTATGAGTTTCGATCAGTTTGCCAAAAACAGTTGCTCATATCGGAATTTGTACAGAGCTCAACGAAACCACAACAACAGAAAATTTTTGAATTGTTTTGATTTTTGATTTTGTTTTTTGATTTGAAATTTTGATCAAATGGCTCGGGGAAGGGAGCGGGCAAGCACTCACCAGGTGATCTCTCTGTATAAATGCAGTTTGAACGGTTGGGATGCCAACAGTATTATACTCAATCGTTGGGAGTGTAGAGAGCCATGCGGTCATTGTCCCCCGCTACAGTCACCGCGGCGTTGGACCTGCATTTTTGTGTTGGCTTTCGGATACTGATTGGTTTTTGGATTGTATGGATAAATTTTTATTGGTTCCCATACTCAGCAGTTGATCAGGGTAATCAAAATGATGCATCGGGTAGGCTAGAGAATGTGATAAGTTTGTGCGCGAACTCGATTCCTTTTCTTAGTAACTAATTATCACTTTCGATAGCAGGAGATATAAATAGCACTGATTGATGCAGCTCAAAAACGCAGAACTACTAGTTAACCCAGACTGGAACGCACCAGGCGAGCCAATGCGATCATGCGTTTTTGCACCAAACTTGAAGTAGTTAGGTTAACGGCATGAACGGTTGTTTCTCCACACCTATCTTGTGCGCTCAATAGTGTAAATCATCGAAAATTTTGCACAAAAGGAAATAAACAATTTCCATTTAGCGGTCGTTTTTTGAAAATGACCCAGCTGTTCAATGAGTAATTTTGTTGCCAAAAATTTAAATGCTCGTACGAGAACCATGCGTACGTGGAGGCTGAATTTGAAACCTTTTAGTTGTACTTGGGCGGGAATATTCTCCTAAAATCTGATCACCAGCTTTGCTGGTTCCCGAGTTAGCATTTTTTCCGTCAAAACTTTCACGAAGCCACACGTGACCTGGAAGCATACCTGGGGGCTGGGTAAGGAATCTTTAAGTTGGACGTGGGCTGGGAACATCCCTTCAAAATTTCAGCCTTCCAGCCTTTCTGGTTCCCAAGCTATCGATTTTCGCGCTAGGAACCCTCACGGGACCGTACGCGGAACCACGCACATCCGGGGGCTGAATTTGAAATCTTTGAGTTATGTATACACGGGAAATGTAATGTCAAAATTTCAGCTTTCTAGCCTTTCTCGTTCCCGAGTTAGCAATTTTCCTGCCAAGACTTTCACCCTCTCGTACGCGAGGCCTAAGCTTACGTGAGTGTTGCTACCGCTGTCCTGGAATGGCACTTGGCCGGGGAACCCATAAGCAAAATTTTGGCGCCAGAGCTTGCTCGATTGCCGAGTTGAAATACCCGGACAAACGAACACACACACACACGCAGGGCCTTTGCAACATGCGTTTTTGCAATTTGCATATAAGCAAAAACGCAAAACGCATCAAATGATAGCAGCTGTTAGCCTATAATGATGAAATGGGTAATAAAGGAAGTCGGAGCTTACCTCGCTCTTTAGCTGCGAAGATTCCATTGGCTTTTTTGCTTTCCAGTTCTTCAGGTCTTTTAAAACAGTGCGTGCTATCCTAC